GTGTAGTGTAGTGGGAAGGCTTCTCATGGGGCGTTGAGAGATTGGGTGCTAATCTCACCTCTGTTGGAAACTAGCTAAGGTGCCTCTCATGAGTGAACCTGCTTCCCTGGCACTCAGTTTCTTTAAGCTGTGCATTTCGGAGGATATCATAATTCCACCTTGAATTAATGAAGAAAGGCAAGGCTGGGACCAGGGGGCACTTTTCTTAAAATGCGGTCCAAGTTTACGCTTTTGCCCCTTTTTTCCTCTATTTGTTTTCTTTAGGTAGGATAGCCTCCTCCCTTTCTCTCTCTCTTCTTTTTTCCCTTTAAGTGTCAGTAAATCTGATAACGATCTCTCTTTCCTTTCATTCCTTCCCTTCTAACCACACTTTGGCTTGTTCTCCTTAGATAAACATTTCTCATGCTGTGAGTACTATACATGCAAGCTCCAGCTTACTTTGCTCTCAGAATCTCTTGTTTAAAAAAAAAAGGAAGAAAGAAATGAACTCTCAGCCTCGAGATACATCTTTCTTGTAATTTACCATTGCATTTCCACCCAAGAGTGCCAAGTCTTTAAAAAGCATGACCTCATTCATCTCTCATCCCCCATCAGCTCCTGGGTCTTCTGGAGGTGGAGGTGCAAGGGGAATGCCCACTGTGCCACCCCATTTTACAGAGTGAGAAATCAAGACCCAGAGCCCACAACGATTTGCCTGAGGGAGATCTGTGAGTCCTTGGCTAGTAGGGGAGCAGGATGTGGGGTTCCTGGTTTCCAGCCACTTCTCTAGCCATGGGCCTGGGGACAAGTTTGAACAGAATCTTAAAGAGGCAGATTGATTTCGATGCAGCCAAGAAAGGGTGCCGCCCTGGGGTTCAAGGAGGCGATGAGTGAGAGCAATGATGTGCTCTGACTGCAGACAGGTGAAGGTAAAGGGACTCACCCAGAGACTCTTCCAGAATGAAAAGAGAAAGCTCCTCTGAGGCAAGACTAACGGGGAGATAAAGGATACGGATCACTTTGAGCTTTATTTATTGGTGTCCAGTCCTAAACACCAAGATGTGTTTACTCCTTTCGGATCTCCCCACTTTGCCTTGAAACCGGACCGGAGAGATTTATCGTGAAGTTAATGAAGCTCCAGGGCCTTTCACTTGCACAGGTGACTTCCAAGACCTGGGAGCGCCCTAGCAATGGTTTCACATGGCTGCATCTCTTTGTAAAATTTGCCAAAGTAAGATGATCTTTTTCTTAGAGTCCCTCAAATTATACAAGCTTCAGGACTCAAAAAATCTGAATCTGCCCCTGGACCTGACCCCATTGACACAATATCCATAGCTTTTGTGGCCCCAAGAAACCATTCCTCTTCCTCAATGGATCTGTTCTCCCTTAAACTGCTGACTACGCTTGTGCCTGCTCTGGGTTTACCGAGCAATTGCAATTCTTGTTCTTAAGGACGGAAGCTAGTCTCCTTTGAGCGCTTCTTATGTTACCAATGCTTTCATAAACACCATCAAAGTCCAGACTCACCACATCTTACTTTTTCAAGGTGGGGAAACAGGTTCGGGGAGGTCTGGTAACTTGGTGAAAATCCCAGGACTTGAACATGGCACAGCCCCCCGGGAACTCATCCTTTTTGCATAAGCAGGGGTATGCGGAAGGAAGAGAGAGGATTCTGGTCTAAAGGGAAAGCTCTTTCCTTCTTTGCTCGAGTCGCTCTTCTTCGTTTTCCTTTCCGGATCCCTTTCTCTCTTCTTTCTGTGATGGCAATCAATGCATGTTTACGGGTTCTGTGTTTTCTGCAAGGCTTTGAGATAGGCACCCAAAAAGGAAAAGGCAGTTCCTTGTAATTTAAAAGAGGGAGCACATTAACTACTCAAGTTGTTTGAACATCGGACAGTAGAGAGATACACAGCGCTGATGGGTGTGGGACACAGCTGGCGGTTGAGGCGAGAGGAGCAAGGTGAGAGGAACCTCAGAGAAGATGTCGGTAAGCTGAAGGCAACCAAGAAAGGTATACATGGAACCTGTGACAAGAGCCCGAAGAAGAGGCGGAGAAAAATACACACAAGAAGCGTTGGCTTTGCACCTGGGCAAGGGGGCGGGGTGGTACCACACTGAGTCCTGTGCTTTCTCAGAGCTGTGAGTCTCGACTCTGGCATGGGTCAAAAGCAAGGAGGCTGCCTCAGGCTCAGAGTCCTGGGCTCCGCCCGCTGAGTCCCTGACTCAGTAGTTTGTGATGGGGCCTGAGAGTCTGCATGTTCCCATGATGCCTCCCCCATGATGCCAGTGCTGCCGGTCTAGGGCCACACTTTGAGTAGCACTGCTTTAGAAGGCCCCACCCTGGGCCTCTTTGGGTCATGCCGCTCCTGATGGGGTCAAGAAGGTAGTGCCCACAGGGCGCTCTACTCATTATTCTGTGATAACCTATATGGGAAAGAATCTGAAAAAGAATAGATACATATATATGTCCAACTGAATCACGTTGCTGCACACCTGAAACTAACACAACGTTGTAAATCAACTATACTCCAATATAAAATAAAAATGTAAAAAAAAGAAGGTAGTGCCCACTCATACGTTCTAGACTACCCTTTGGGGATTTGGATTTGGGCATCTTGGATTCTTCTCCCCATTTCCAGCACTCGGTGGGCCTCTTCTCTGGGTTTCTCTCCCCAAAGATGGACCGTCTCATTGATAGATGCACCCTCAGTCCTGATGGGGTGGCCATGGGATGACTATTCGCAGTGTGGACAGAACTCGGGCCTGCAGACTCATGTGTCCACACCTGTGCATGGCGGCCCCTCCCAGCTCAGATAAATCCAGGGCTAGGGACAGGTGGGGACAAGCCATGAGTCAGAATCCAGAGGCCAGGTCTCCCCCACCTCCAGGCTCCATGTGGAGCTCTGGGGTCCTGGGGATCTAAATCCAAGCATGGCCTTGAGGTCATTACGAAGATATATTTGTCAAGGGAAGAAAATAAAACATATTTGATATAATGGTTTGTTCATTTGATTTATGACTTTTAAATATTTGGACATTTGGTCCCTGGGACTCTATTTATATGCTTGTTCCAGGTGCTTCAAATGTTAGAGGTGGGCCTGCAGATAAGAATAAGCCATACTGCATTACTTTTGTTGTTGTTGGCAGTAATGGGATTATTTTTGGGGGGGTGGGTTTTTTTGTTTTTTAATTATTTATTTTATTTATTTATTTTTGCCTACATTGGGTCTTTGTTGCGGTGCGCGGACTTCTCATTGCGGGTGGCTTCTCTTGTTGCAGAGCACGGGCTCCAGGCACCCGGGCTTCAGTAGTTGTGGCTTGCGGGCTCTAGAGCACAGGATTGGTAGTTGTGGCACACGGGCTTAGTTGCTCTGCTGCATGTGGGATCTTCCTGGACCAGGGCTTGAACCCGTGTTCCCTGCATTGGCAGGCGGATTCTTAACCACTGTGCCAACAGGGAAGCCCTGCATTACTTTTATAAAAGAAAAAAGGGAGTCCTTTTTTTTTCTCTCTCTCTCTCTCCACCTTGTTATAAACACAGAAATTCTTTCCTGGAGTGGGTGACTCCCTGAGATGTAGGGCTGCTTCCGCTGGAGACCGCATGCACAGGGAGCGTGGCAGCGTGCCAACCCGCGGTTGGCGCTAGCTACATGAGTTCTTGTTTTTGTCTCTTCTCTTCCCCTTCCAAAGCCAAGGACTGCACAAACTGCTGGTATTAGCCAAGCATGGCCCACGGCTCCTTGCAGAAATGCTCAGAACAGGCAAAGCCTCTGAGATCATGAGGCACGACATTCTGAGTGCTGTGGGGTAAGAGGTTGGGTATAGCATCTTAGGGTCTATTTCAAATCTTATCACAACTGGGGCTTCCAACAGGTGGCTGTGGGCTTGTCCAATACAAAGGTTTCAAACAGAAGAAGAATTTTTATTTTTTTGATTTTTTAATTTTTAAAATTTTTATTGGAGTAGAGTTGCTTTACAATATTGTGTTCGTTTATACTGTGCAACAAAGTGAATCAGCTATACGTATACATACATCCCCTCGTTTTTGGATTTCCTTCTCATTAGGTCACCAAAGAGCACTGAGTAGAGCTCCCTGTGCTATACAGCAGGTTTTCATTAGTTATCTATTTTATACATGGTATCAATAGTGTAAATATGTCAATCGCCATCTCGCAATTCATCTCCCCCCGACACCCTTGGTATCCATGTTTGTTTTCTACACCTGTATCTCTATTTCTGCTTTGTAAATAAAATTGTCTATACCAATGTTTTCAGATTCCACAAGTATGCGTTAATATACAATATTTGTTTTTCTCTTTCTGACTTACTTCACTGTGTATGACAGTCTTTAGATCAATCCATGTCTCTAAAAATGACCCAATTTCGTTCCTTTTTATGGCTGAGTAATATTCTATTGTATATATGTACCACATCTTCTTTATCCATTCCTCTGTTGATGGACATTTAGGTTGATTCCATGTCCTGGCTATTGTAAATAGTGCTGCAATGAACATTGGAGTGCATGTGTCTTTTTGAATTATGGTTTTCTCTGGGTATATGCCCAGTAGTGGGATTGTTTGGTCATATGGTAATTCTATTTTTAGTTTTTCAAGGAACCTCCATACTGTTCTCCATAGTGGCTGTATCAATTTACATTCCCACCTACAGTGCATGAGGGTTCCCTTTTCTCCACACCTTCTCCAGCATTTACTGTTTGTAGATTTTTTTGTTGATGGCCATTCTGACCGGTGTAAGGTGATACCTCATTGTAGTCTTGATTTGCAGTTCTCTAATAATTAGTGATGTTGAGCATCTTTTCATGTGCCCATTGGCTATCCATATGTCTTCTTTGGAAAAATGTCTATTTAGGTCTTCCGCCCATTGTTTGATTGGGTTGTTTGTTTTTTTGATATTGAGCTGCATGAGCTGTTTGTATATTTTGGAGATTATTCCTTTGTCAGTTGCTTTGTTTGCAAATATTTTCTCCCATTCTGAGGGTTGTCTTTTCATCTTATTTATGGTTTCCTTTACTGTGCAAAAGCTTTTAAGTTTAATTAGGTCCCATTTGTTTATTTTTGTTTTTATTCTCATTACTCTGGCAGGTGGGTCAAAAAAGATCTTGCTACACTTTATGTCAAAGAGTGCTCTGCCTATCTTCTCCTCTAAGCGTCTTATAGTGTCTGGCCTTCCAGAGGTTGGGTATAGCATCTTAAGGTCTATTTCAAATCTTATCACAGTTGGGACTTCCAGCAGGTTGGTGTGGGCTTGTCCAATGGAAAGGTTTCAAACAGAAGAAGAATTTAAAAATTTTTAAAAAATTTTTTAATTGAAGTATAGTTGATTTACATTGTATTAATTACTGCTGTACAGCAAAGTGATTCAGATATATATATATATCAATCAATCTATCTATCTATATATCAATCAATACATTCTTTTTTAAAAATATTCTTTTCCATTATGGTTTATCATATGATATTGAATATAGCTCTCTATGCTATACAGTAGGACCTAGTTGTCTATCCATTCTATGTATAGAAGCTTACATCTGCTAGCCCCAACCTCCCACTCCATCTCCCCACAACCCCTTCCCCCTTGGCAACCACCAGTCTGTTCTCTATGTCTGTGATTCTGTCAAACAGAAGAAGAATTTGTAAACACTGAAGACACATGGAGCTCCTATGGGGCCACGTGATGACTGGCAAAAACTCAGAAAGTTCCTGGGGATTGATCAGTGGTTCTAAAATTTTGATGGGCACCAGCTTGTCTTGAAGCTTGTTCATCCTGCAGACCCCTTGGGCCCCACCACAGAGGTTGTGATGCAGTAAAACGGGAGCAGAAAATAAGATTTGACATGTTAACGAATGCTTCAGATCCTGTTGCAAGTGGTTCGTGAAACCCGGTGGAGAGCTCGCTGTCATGTTCAAAGGAGGATATTGCTTTTAGCCAAAGAATAGCTTTTTCTGAAAAGGACAGAGGAGTCTTTTGGACACATCAGAGCCCCCCTTGTGGTTACCAACATGAACTCTGGCCCCAGACCATGTTCAAATCCCAGCTCCACTATTTCCTAGCTGTGTAACCTTGGACAAGTTATCTAACCAATCTAAGCCTAGTTTTCTCATCTGTAAAATGGGGATGACCCTCACATTCTCACAGGGTTGTTCTGAGGACCACATAAGTTAACAGTGTCTGGCACTATTTGCTATTATTAGTATTACCTGCTGTTATTATTCCTCATAGGGGGAAATTTGGTAGCAATGGAGTTTTTGCCAGAATACTGATTTTAGTGGATTTCTGAAGAAAGCAGTGCTGAAGGAGTGAGTAAACATAAAATGTAGGAAGCTACTGGGGACGCGAAAGTAATTAGTGGAGCAGTGTACTTTCTTTCTCTAGCTGGATGTGGGCAAATACAGTGCAAATCCCGCTCAACCAATGAAAGGCTCCTTCCCAGACCAGGGTTATCTATACTAATTATCCAAACACAATGCTTCCCTTCTGCTTCCAGGCAATGAGGTCTCGTTAATGCGATAGAGGGAATCTTCCAGAAAGCGCCACATTCAACATCAGCACACCTGCTTCATACACCCTGAGCTCTAAATGGAGAAAAAAGCAAAAAAAAAAAAATTGATTTAAATTATGCAGGTGGAGGGTAATTAAATATTGATATAATAATTATTAAATTATGCAGGTGTCGGGTAGGTTTATGGGAAACTTCTGGAATCACCGCAGGAGTGGTGTAAACAATGAAAAACCCTGCATGGGGCCCCGAGATGGAAGACAATGCAATGAAGTTACGGTTGAACTCGGCAGCTGCTGAAGTTCACGTTCATCTGGAGGTAGATGTCTCTCTGGATGAGTTCATCCAAACCAAGAGCAAGGCTTCCCCCAAAAAACACGAGTACACAGAAGAGAAGCCACTCTTCTCAGGCAGTCCTAAGAATTAAAAGAAAATAGTCAAAGTGGAAAATGTGGAGAATCTCCCAAAGAATCTTTTCATTTAAAACTATGATCTTCAACAACAGCATTTTCATTTCTAAAGTCACATTTATGATTTCAGAGCCATAAAGAAATGGCCCTGAAATGAACAAATGGTTCAGAGAAGTGCATGAGGCAAGGTCTGAGGGATTGTGATGGGGGCCATCCCAGGTCTGGACCAGAAATGTGTTTGTAGATGGTAGCCGGGATAGGCAGACTCATCACAGCTAGTTTGTTGGAGGAAAATTTGAGTTCCAAAGCAGTGAATTTTTATGTTTGACCATTTTGTCACTTGTGTCACTAAAAAAGAATGGGCCAGATGGTGGTCTCTAGTATGTTTTTCACAGTGTAGCGTCTGCAGAGGGATTTACCTTCATTGGCTATTAACAAGCAGTCTGAACAGCTTAAATGAGAGTCCAGTGTTGAAAGGCAAGAAACCCAAATGCTGCAATGTCCTTTAATTTCGAATCTCAGATGAACTTAAATGTTCAGTTTTAAAAGTCGCAGTTGACAGTCATAGCCAATGGAGAAGATGACATCTTCAAGTATCTGTTCAAATGAGCCATTTTTTCTTCTCTCTCTCTGTAAAATGCAAAAAAATTATGGTTAAACCCAAGAGTTCTGATGTGTTGGCATTCAGTGTTTTGACTTTGGTTTTTTTTGGACTTTGGTTTTTTTCATTGATGTATAGTTAATGTACAATATTATGTTAGTTTCAGGTGTACAATGTAGTGATTGGACATTTAAATACGTTACAAAATGATCACTCATTATTCTGGTAACCACTTGTCACCATACAAAATCTTTTTGATTTTTTAAGATTAGATAGTTTAGAGGTTCTCAAACTTGAAAGAGCTTCAGAACCACCTGGTTGCGTGTGTGTCAGGGGACTTGTTAAAATACAGATTGCTGGACCCCATCCTCAGGATTTCTAACTTAGTAGAAATTTGCATTTCTAACAAGCTCCCAAGTAGAAGTTCCCAACTTCCCAGCAAGTTCTCTGCTGTGTGTATGGGGACCACACACAGTCTGAAGATCACTGTTCCAATACATCCTCCAGTTCAATTGGGCTCAATTTAGTTTAAAGTCCTAAATTCTTCTGAGAATCTGATGAAAGCCATAGACCTTTTCCTCAGAAGAAGCACCCAGCTAAACATAGACACTTATAATTTTAGAGAATTTATCCCTAAGGGATTCCAAGAGTCTTTGCATAAAAGCTCTTGTCCTGTCTAGAGCTGAGGTCAGCAAACTTTTTCTGTAAATGTCCAGATAGTAAATATTTTAGATTTTATGGGCCATACAGACCCTGCTATAACTACTCAAGTCTGCCATTGTAGTGGGAAGGCAGCCATAGACAATATGTAAATGAATGGGCATGGCTGTGTTCCCAAAAACTCTATTTACAGAAACAGATGATGTGCAGTATTTGGCCCAAGGGCTGTAGTTTGCCAACCCTTAGTCTAGAGTATGGATTTTAGAATCAGGTCTACATGGGTCATTAACTGTGCAACCCTGGGGTCAGCTCTTAACCTATGACAGCTTTGTTTTCCTCATCTGTAAAATGTCATGTAGTGAGTCTTGCTATAAAGTATTGTGTTGAAAATTAACTGAGATAATCCACCCAGAGTTCCAAGCATTTCCCTTACATGTTGTAATTTTGATATTTAATAATATTAATAATAGTAAATGGATAAATTCTAGGGTGAAGGCCCTCATGAACCATACAGGCATCGGACAATATTAGTTATTGTTATTATTGTTAAGCAGACAGCGTGCATGAGAATTACCCAAATACAAATGAAGAACTGGGAATGTGGTATTTTGTTCTAGAATTGTGAAATAAGAGGGATGGATGTCTAGTAAGGCCCTATGTGTCCTAGCCACTGTCTTTCTCTCCGAACTCATCCGGCCACTGTACTGACACCCTGATCGCCTCCTGTCCATGTGATCTTCAAATAACCCCGCTTTTCCCTGGAATGTTCCTTCTTCCTACCCCATCTTTCAGGCCTCTGTATCACTTCCTCCAAAGGGTTGGTCACGTAGGACTTGTTCTTTTCCCTTGTGACACTTATTAGACTTTGTACTTATTTATTTGTGACCATTTTGTGAATCAATTTACTTGATTCTTGAATGCCTTCTGCATTAGAACTCTAGACTTTTTGAGGTCTGGACCATATCTGTTTTGGTCATCACTGTACAGCTGGAATTAAGCACTAGGTCTGGCACTCAGTGGATGCTCAAGAAACGTTTAATGAATGAGCGAGCCAATTTTACCCAAGGTTATTTTTGGCTCAAAGCAAAATAATGACACTTTACCTTTGGAGCCCTCTATTAACGCTTTTATATTTAGGTAGAGGTGGGGAAGGTGAGGCGGGGGTGGGGAGCTCTCTTATTCAGGCAGTTCTGTGCTTATGTTGATTTCTGTGTCATTACGTTCCCTCACCTACCATAAATGTAGATCTTCAGTGCTCTCCCCCGATTGTCTTATCATAGAGCCATATCTCAAACAATGCTACTCAATGGTGATGGACCTTCTTTTTTTTAATTGACATATAGTTGATTTACAATGTTGTGTTAGTTCAGGTGTACAGCAAAGTGATGCAGTTATACATGTATGTATGTATATATATATATATTCTGTTTCATATTCTTTTCCTTTATAGGTTATTACGAGATATTGGATATCTTATAATAACTGCTATACAGTAGGACCTTATTGTTTATCTGTTTTATGTATAGTAGTGTGTATCTGCTAATCCCAAATGCCCAATTTATCCCTCCCCCCACCTTTCCTCTTTGGTAACCATAAATCTGTTCTCTATGTCTGTGAGTTTGTTTCTATTTTGTAAATAAGTTCATTTGTATCATATTTTAGATTCCACATATAAGTGATATCATATGGTATTTGTCTTTGTCTTATCTACTTAGTATGATCATCTCTAGGTCCATCCATGTTGCTGCCAATGGCAATATTTCAGTCTTTTTTATGGCTGAGTAATATTCCATTGTGTGTGTGTATGTGTGTGTGAGGGGGCTACTTTATTGGTGAGGGGGCTTCTTGTCCAGGAGTAGTTGGTTTTAACAGAGAATTTTGGGGATGCAAAGCCTTAACACCAGAGTGGAGCTCTTCAATGGTGGACTTCTAGGCTGAGGTGGGTGAACGTGTGGGATAAATTGTGGAAGAGGAGCCATGGCTGAAATCCTTTAAATCCCAGCCCAGTGTCAGCTGTCTGCTCTGAAGCAGCATTGGGCAAATGTTTGGATCTGAGAGAGGTATTTGCTACTGCTACACGAAAACCTCACTTAATTCCCCAAACATACTGATATAAAATGTATTTTGTGACACTAATTCAGTACTGGTGGTTCTTTTCCTCCTCCCCCCTCCCCCTCCCCTCCCTCTGCCCCTTCTTCTTATTCTTCTACTTTCTAATGATTTAAGCTCTTATTCCTAGTTATGGTGGGGGAAGAGAAAGAGAGAGAGAGTAACCATGGCTAACAATGGCCTCATATCTATTGGTAAACTCAGGAGCTCCTCAAACTGCCTAATTGACTTGGGCCAAAACCTTTTACAAAAAGAACTGAGCTTAAAATGTAATCACCAACAATGAGGGTTGGAGTGGTATAGCAGAAGATCTTGGAATGACATGTCTGGTCTCCTGGGCTCCTCTCTGATACCATCCATAGCTTTGATAGTGCTGTGTGCTCTAACAGGGCTTCCCTTAACGTTCCAGCTGGGCATCCATACACTTTTTCACCTCATATATTTCTTCAAAGCTGTGGGAGCCTATTCAGCCCGTACATAGAGACAGCATCCTGTGCTAGTGGAGCGCAGTCAACACCCCAGGGCAACACTCAATGAATGGGGTGTGGGAGCTAGTGCGCCAGCCTCCTGAACTTTGAAAAGACAATTCTGCGAGGTATTGTGTATGTTTCTCGGAGGTCCCAGTGGAGCTGGTCCCCCCTGTCTGCATTAGCAACCTCAGTAACCCACCTTTATAGAGCTTTCCTTTTCCCAGTCTCATTCTCTCATTCCCTCACTCATGCTTTTGCTCATTTATTATTTGTTTTGTTTTCATGATGGTGGGGCATCTCCCATATAAAGCCCCTACATCCAAGCCTTTTCTCAGCCGCAGCTTTTGGAGGAAATTAACTTAAGACAAGGGATGGGGGGGAGACCTTCAAGATGGCGGAAGAGTAAGACACGGAGATCGCCTTCCTCCCCCCAAATACATCAAAAATACATCTACATGTGGAACAAACTCCTACAGGACACCTACTGAACGCTGGCAGAAGACCTCAGACTTCCCAAAAGGCAAGAAACTCCCAACATACCTGGGTAGGGCAAAAGAAAAAAGAAAATACAGAGACAAAAGAATAGGAACGGGACCTGCACTTCGGGAAGGGAGCTGTGAAGGAGGAAAGGTTTCCACACACTAGGAAGGCCCTTCACTGGCGGAGACTGCGGGTGGCAGAGGGTGGAACTTCGAAGCCGCAGAGGAGAGCACAGCAACAGGGTTGTGGAGGGCAAAGCGGAGAGATTCCAGCACAGAGGATCGGTGCTGACCAGCACTCACCAGCCTGAGAGGCTTGTCTGCTCACCCACCCGGGCTGGTGGGGACTGGGGGCTGAGGCTCCACCCTCTTTGGAGGTCAGATCCCAGGAAGAGGACTGGGG